CAAAAAATATGGACTCGCTCGGAAATATCAAATTAATGAGAGGGACATCGAATTAGCTATCGACTTGGCTGCAATACTGCAGCCTTTGCTTGAAATAACGCTTCAAGTTTCACTTGCAGGATCACCTCGGTTATCGCATGTGGTGGTCTTCATCGATCAAATAACCGAACATCTCTCGACTATCATAGCTCAAGAATCTTACGCTCCTGTCTTGAGGAATGCGTGTCGTGGCGGTTTGCAGCTTACTAACAAATACTATACTCTAACCGACTGCTCACCCCTTTACAGAGTGGCTATGAGTAAGTTTCCTTTCCATATCTTCCTTCTGTTATCTGTATCAGTTTGGTATATCAAACTAACTCACATACATCTTGATGGCCAATGGCAAAGTACTCCACCCCTCATTCAAGGATGAGTACTTCAAGATTGCTGGCTGGGATCAAAAGTGGATCGATGATGCAATTTCTCACACACGCGAGATGTGGATCAATCACTATAAGCCAAAACCAATACCCACAGCTTCCAAATCAGTCGACCCTAAATCAAAAGTAAGTCAGATTTTGTTAATATCTCAAACATTAAATCTAAGTTTAACCGAAGTTCTTTCCAGCACCCAACCGGATTCCTTTCGCAACTTGGTGCCGCATCTGCAGCACGCTCAGGGAACTCATCAACCGATCCACTTGACATCTGGCTTAGCGGTGCTCTTGTCTTGGATGGATCCGATCCTATCGACGCCCTTGAATGGTGGCTTCAACAAAAGCGGGGAGGAAACACTTATGGAGGGCTTTTGACTATGGCACTGGATGTATTGAGTTGTCCAGGTATGATTCATTGGTTTATTTATATTTAAGTCTTTTGATTTAATTTCTAATTTACAAACGATTGGAAAATTCTTTTAAATTTCCAGCTACATCGGTTGACGTGGAGCGCGCGTTCAGTTTTGGAAGAGATTATGTCACACTCAAGAGGCACAGGCTTAGTGCGGTATCTGTGAGTAGGGGAATGGCGGTAGCATTTTATTCAAAGAACAATAAGATCAAGGATGGGGATCTGAATAAGTGGAATGAAGGGCTCCTAGAGGAAAAGAAGAGGAAGATGAAGGAGAAGCAGAGGGGAAGATAAGTAATTTTAGGGGATATACTCCCATTAAGTAGTACAATGGAATGAAATAAAGCATTGAGATTTTTTCTGGAAAAGGTACCGCCGGTACCCGCCAAAAACACCCGGGTACCCGCTGTTGCGTGTCCGTGTACGGGTACGGGTATTAAATATCTGCTAATAATGGAGCAGGTACCTGTACCCGTCGCGGGTACCCGGGTCCAAAATGCCATCTTTAGTTTGTTTCATGGCTGATTCTCAATGGTCCAAGTTGACCATTTTGACAATCCTCTCATCAAAATCTCAGGGATTTATCCTGCAATTTAGACCAGTAAAATTTTTTCAAAGTATCAAATATTGAAAAAAATCAAAGAGCAAAAGTTGATCTCTGAGCCTTGAGAAGCTATTGTAAAGCAAAAAATGCAAATTGGAGGACTTCCCATCATCCAAATCTGCTAATTTAGAAGGACATCCTAAACGTTATTTGCTGGCAAAAATTGATCAAGATCAAGTTTTCACCAGCCAATAGAGTTTAGGACCCCCTTCTAGATCAAGCAATTTAGGCAACGGGAAGTCCTCCATTTGAGTGGAAACTTTGACAATTACAAAGTTTCTCTTGAATTTAACTAGAATTTAGTTGTACTAGATATTTCTAGGTAATTTATTGATTGAAATTTGCTTTAGCATCTTGGGCACTCCGTCCCTAGCTTAACTAAGCCTCTCAACGGAGGGGGTCTGGGGGAAGGCCCGTGTGTCCCAAAGGGACACTCTGTAGGAGAGATTTATGCCAAAATTAACTTGCACGGTGTAGGACTCCTGGGACGGATAGACATGGTAAAGTATATGTATATCAAAAGATCCCTTGAGGGGGAAATAAATTGCAAATAGGTTGAAAGGCTATTACAACTTACGGGTGGTTTGAAAGACCTGCCCCTCTAATTGTACTAAACAAATAACTAAGAGTCTTGTAATCAATATTTAAGAATATGTGGCTGATTCCAAGATAGATCTTACTTTTGTAAAGTAATCTCTATCAGACCTAGATCACGTATCAATCTACTAATGAATCTGTTACAACTTCAGGTTAATAATGGAAACTGTGGCGCGTTATTTAGAGTTTGTTAATGATCTCTTCCTCGAACAATTTCTTGCTAAGGCACTTTAATCAAAACTAGAGCTCCGGTGTTACTACTACTACTACTGTTATTTGTTATTTGTTAATAATACTACTTATGTTAATTTGTTATGGTTGAATGGTTCTGGTTCTACTGCTTATAAATCTCTGACTTTACTTAACTACTTCTGACAAGCACACTACTAACTAACTAATTGTGACCAACGTACTCCTGTAGGTTGATGGGGAAAAAAGAATCCTGGTGGAGAGAGGCCCTCCTTTTATATTGAAGAGTGAGGGATTTCTGCTGCAGGTGACTCTCTGTGAGTTATTTTTGCTGCAGGTGACACACACTTGCACAGCATGATGTCATTGGTTGCTATGAAACCAAGCCATGTAGCATGTGCTGAAACATTCCAAAGCAGTAATCCAGTACAGTATACAGTCTTATGAGATCTGTTACTCAGAAACCAAATCAACATTCCAAATGTTCTGTGTTTCATCTGAACAGATGAAGCAATGGATGAAACACTCACTTACTCCCTTCCTTGTTCCTTTTTCCACTGATTACACAATAAATAAACCCATATTACATAACCTACCCATGCACACACCACATCTACATATGTATTCCTTACCCTGTTGTTGTATGTCCTACGTAATAAATGTTCCTCCTCTTGTAATGAGTGATAAGTGTGTGTAACTATCACCTATTCTGTATGCTTTTGGCATTGGAACAGGCACAGCACACCACATCCCCCCCCCAACTTAATGCTGTCCGCAGCATTCCTGTGGAAATGCCAAAAGAACACTACTCCTCGTAATTTTTAACCAAGATTTCCAAGAATAACGTCCATTGTTGTTGGGATCCAATCCACGCCAAGTCCACTTCTATCCGTAAATAAGTCCATCGCCGTCCAATATTGTATCATCAATCCATAATCCATTCCATAAGATAACCGCTACGACCTAATCCAAGACGCCCTTGAGTTATTTCAAACTATTTCATCTCATCCGCTCTAAGAAGAGGTAGATGGCCACACATCCAGCAAGGATTAATTAAACACTCAACCATTTCACTCTTTCTCTTCATATCACTCAAACTTTTCAATCCAATTTATAATTCTTGCTAGTCTTATGAATCTTCTTACATCTTGATGCCAAAATATTCCACTTTAATTTCCCGTTCCACGTCGTCCATGTTGCTGGTTTGTTTCTTCTCCGTCCAAGTCTGTCTGTCTTCCTTTTTGATCCTGTTAAATTTCCAATTTGCTGTGTTATTCCGTCCATTTTGTCCAGTGCTCTTGACACCGTGCTATTTTCTTATTTATTTACTAATAAATGATTGACTTGAATTGGCCCACCCTTGTCCCTCAGCTAAACATATGATCCTGTTTGCCTACCAATTGCTTTCCAATCTTATAATCATGATGTCTTGAAATGTATTTCTAATAATTAAGTCCTCCTTAGTTGTATTCCAATCCTTTCCAAGTCCATATCTATACGCCAAAGGGTTCTCATTGCCCCATATTGTCACACCAATCCTATAAGTTGATTCATAAGATTACAGATTCATCCATCCTCCCTACCTGCTACGTCCAAATCAAAGGCTCTGCAATGCCCTCTGAATATCCACGCCCTATTCCGCTTCATATATTTCCGCATTGGTCCAAAGAAAAGGCTGGTAGCTAAAATTCCTGCAAGGGTATTGGAAAATTGACATTATCTAACTTTTACGCTTCCGGCCTAATTTCATCCTTCACCCGTTCATAGATAATGCCCCTTCTTATTCAAGCATATCCAATCCCTTGACATCCACATTATGAATCCCGCTTGTCCTATAAAAAAATCATTAGTCCTGTTGTTCTCATATATTGCATTGATAGTCCGTCCACGCTTTCCACGTCTTTAGATCGTCTCTTCCTGTTCCAAGTTTCCCATCTTATTATAATTCGTGAATGTGCTAATGATTGTGTCTTGTGAATGATTGTCAAATGACTTGATGTTTGTTTTCTTAAATAAATTTTATGTCCATACACTACAATCTTCTTGAGTTCATTTCTTCCTGATCCTGAATTCCGTAGTCGTATATTTCGTAATATTATTCTACTGTTTTCACAAAGAAATGACTGTTCATAGCAGTTTATATTATTGCTGAGGATACATGAGCAATTTTATCTCTTGCTGAGGAGAGTTGAGCAGTTTTACCTCATGCTTAGGAGGCTAAAAGAGTGACTTAACATAGCAGTTTAACCTCTTGCTCAGGAGGCTATCAACTGTTTTTATTATTATTATTTTTAAATTTCATTTTGTGTTGTTTTATCCGACTGACTTGACCCATTATCTGCACCAGTTTTTTTTTTTTTTTTTTCTTTTTTTTTCTTTTTTTTTTTTTTTAAATATTCCAGGCAATTCTGTTACCCCCATGTTTGCTGTATTCTTCTTCTTTGTATGTATGTATGTATTGCCTGGGATCCTTGATACTTACCCTTATCCTCAATGGCCCAAATAGAAACCATTGGAATTTTCCAGAGTCTTCTATCTTGTTGCTGTGTCTGGCTGCATTGATGTTTCCTCGTAACCGGTCAGACAAGTATTCTCAGATATTCTCAGTGGAGTCGCATGCAAGGGTATAAATTCAGGTTGAATCGCTGATACTCTCAAACAGCATTGACTCGCGTCCACCTTGTACCCCGGATCCAAGCTCCCTTCAACGCGGCCTGGAAGACTTGAAGTCCTAGATCAATCATTTATCGAAGTTTCTCTTTGCTTCTTCTAGTAACCAATGACCTCCTACCACGCGATCGATTCGCTGATACGTACGTAGTTCTTGTCTTCTCTTTAATAATTAGTCTTGCGGTCTCTTGAGTGATGAGTATCCCCTATTTTACTTCCTGATGTGTTTCCTTATCAATCGGCCGCCTCTAATATAATGACTCGATTGGTTCGAATTGACTCTGTTCTCTGCACCTTAGCCAGCGGTCTTCTTATTTCGTGATCGGTCTCGGACAGCGATAACCATACCTACCTCCCTTCTGTACATAGCTCAACTTTCATCTCCCTGCTTCTAGTCGCCGACGACCTCCCACCGCCATCGATTGCTGATGGCAAGATCGATGCAGGTGGCCCTTCTCTATACAGCGTCTTATTTGTTATTTATTTCAACCGATCTCGTCCGCTGCTCCTTTCTGCCTTCCTCCTGAACAATTCCACCCATTACGACCTACCTGCTCGATTCCAAACCCGAGCTGCTCCTAAAGAAAACGACGAAACGACCTGCCGCTACATTCTTCTTTACACCGATCTGCTAACGTTGATTATGACCCAAACGACTAGATTTAACGCTTCCGACCTGGGTTCTTTTTCCTTTCCTCTTCCCCAACGATACAACGACCATCCGCTGCCTCTAACAATTGGAATCCCAAAAATGACCTGTTTCCTCTGTCCCCTATCGCCACAGCCTTTCTTCCTGATGGATATGACCAATAAGAGCTAAAAAGCACAAAAGAAGGAGAAAAGACTTGTACATGGATTGAATATGTCCTCCTTTTTGCTCTATATGTTCATAACCCCTGGAATGAAAGAAATTCTGCTCCTTATGTATTTTTTCTTCCACAACTAACCCAAAATTGCTCTTATCAAATCCCCCCCAAAAAAAATGTAGAACTGTAAAATAGAATCAGAGAATCATGGCTTGTGGACTTGAATGAATCTTGATAAGAAAATGAACTGTAACAAGGAAGACACCCCCAAGCTGCTGTGATGCTAAAGATGTTGATCTGTGCCATAAAATTATAATCTTGAGTGTTTAATAACCAGAGTCACCTATGTACATAAGAAAGAGGAAGAAAAAATAAAAAATAAAAAATAAATAAATAAACTATCATTTTTGATGTGTTGCAAAGACCTGTAATCTGCAATAGCAGAGTATTCCCAGTCTTTCCAAAAAGTCTCATAAGCTGATCCTTGGCGCGCTTGTTCGTCCTGTAACACCCATTTAAAAGCATTCCAATCGATTTTTCCAAAAAGGCCAACCATTTTTGATACTAACTCAGCTAAGAATTCTTCTTCTTCCTTTCGCCGCTTTCTACCGCTGTGTCGTATTTGTTGTTCCATTGCTAGGCACACCCCTGTGTTGTCTCCTAAATACATATGATAACGATCTCCAGGCAAAATCCACCAAGTTTCTGGCCAAATACTATCGTTCTCCAGGTAACCAATTGTTCCTTTGTAGTTCAGCAGCATCATGAAACCAATACGGCCGGTTGAATATCCAGGTAATTCCTTCCAATCCCCCTCCGCTGTCGATCCACGATTCTCAGGGAACATTCGTACAAATTCTTTATCCGGGTACCCTTTGTCAATATAATCCACTGTGACTGTAAATGTATTTTCCAAGTAACCCTTCTTGCTGTTTGTCCAAGTGGGAATTGGTGTCCATTCTTCAGTTGATTTTGCGTTCAATGCATCCTCGTATAATGAATCCGTCATCCAGCTAGCCGATCCATGGGTTTCTGTACTGTCCGTTTCCGTCTGTTTGCCATCTTGATCCAAGGTCTCCTCTAGTTCGATTCCAACTCCGGTCGGTCCTCTCATATGTGGTATACTCCCAGCATCCACATAACAGTCTACTTTCATGCTAAAACACTTATCTGCTATCCTACGTGGGGGTGCCATCTCCCATCCTGGAATCTTTGGAGAACAAATGGGTATACATAGTCTTCCGCCATCCTCTAATTCGTAGCTCAGTATCTCACCTCGGTTTTTGGATAACTCTAGACGTACCTTGTGATCAGCCAGGAAGGGCCTTCCCAACACCGTATAAACCTTACCTCGAGCAATAAAGAAATTTGCAGCCTTCTCATCTTCAGAATCTATGCAGAAATGGATTCCTTCCGCCAAGCCAACTATGGGTGTCGAATGTCCTCCAATACCCATGATGTTCATACTGATCTCACGCGCTGGTAACTTCAACTGTATGGCCAATCCTTCCGGCATAATATTCATTTCCGCACCTGTGTCCACTAGGGCCTTCACCTGTTTACCTCCGATCACGATGTCAATAAATCCTAGCGGGCAAGCATAAGTTAGTGCATTCTCGCCCAAATCTAAATTCATTCGGCGCTGTCGCTTAATGTCGTCCTCAAAATCTCGATGGTCGCATCTCCCAGAGTTTTGGCTTCTATTCACCGTTTTTGGTTCCTCCTCCGGAAAGGTCTGCAATTCTTGAAGAAATTTGGGTGCTATCAATAGGAGCTCTTCCAAGGTTAGTGTAAAACTTTGCTTTAAAAACTTCTTCTTAAGTCCCCCCCCCAACTTTGGATTTGTCCATAATTCTAGGAAATACTTCTTTTACTGACAGATCTTCTTCCTTCCTTTCCGGTTCTTGTGGTGCAGATTCCTCCAACTCTGGTTCCTCTTCCACACTACTCCCGTCGTCCGAGCCGCCTTCCATCCACGCTCCTGGGTAACTTGGTCTTCTCTTCCGTGCCGCAGATGGATTCTTATTGGCTTCCTGATTTCCTGGTGGCGTCTTTGGCGTAACTTCCTTGGGCTTAATTTGTACTTCTGGTTTAGGAACGGGTTGTTGTGATTCTTTCTCCTTATCCTTGTTGGTCCTTGCAGATCTTCGCAGGCCAAATCCGATCAAATTCTCCTCGTCCTCCTCGCCATAGTGCATTTCCGGTGGACTCCAGGCTTCCCAACGATTAGTCGAAATCATGGACGCTGTTGGTTCTTGTCTAGGCTGCGGGAATTCTTCACTCATCATCATGTTTGCCCTCTTATCCCCAGTCTCCTTGGCTTCATTGGAATGTTCAGCAAATTTCCTGACCAACTCTCGAACTGAATCTCCGGTGTCTGAAGGAATCACTTCCCGGTTAGGGTAATAGAAGTTGGGTCCCTGCTTGAAAACCAGTCGTTTCGTTATATCTTCGCTCAGATGTTGACAGAACATAGAGGTATGATCCATTTCCTTACAATAGAAACATTGAAGTTGAGGGCGTTGGAACGATGGTCCTCCAGTTCCTGGCGGTCTAAATCCTGAATTGGGTGGTCTTGGTGCAGAAAAATGTGGCGGAAATGGTCTGGCATTTTGATTAGTATTCATATCAGTACGTAACTTCTTGATTTCATCCTCTAAGGCCTTCATCTTATCTGTTCCACTGTCTGACTTATTCTTGCTTTGAGCTTCCTTCTTAGATTCAGATTCCTTGGTAAGTGGTTTAGCTTTTGAAATTCCAACGTCCAAGTCTAATACTGCAAATGATGCATCCACGTAATCCTTCAAGACTTCTAACTTTGGTACTAGCGCCTTCCCGTCCTTGGTCTTCTTCAATTTCTTGTCGTGTGCCAACTCCTTCGCCACGTCCCGTCGCATCTCCGTCGAAATTGCCTTCCAAAGTGGTTCGCCACTTGCCGCATTCACGTCCTCGTAATCCATCTTTGTCAAATACGCCAAAATCTCCTCGAGTTCGCCAATAAACTTCCTATATTCCTCTTTTGTCTGAATACCACCCTTATCCATGTATTTGCTGACCAATGTCGAAACCGAATCCTCGTTAAATCGTCTGAGTGGTGTTGCCCGTCCCCATTTACGAATCATTTCCTTCTTCAATAAGTCCCAATCCCAATTCTCGTGTCCCTCCATATTCTCGATGCATTCACTGATTTTCTTGGATTTAACCATGAAAGGTAACTGAAGAGCCACGTCTTGTCCGCCAGCTTTGTGCAAGGAAGCAATCTTCTCCACGCGCTTGATGAATAATTCCACTTCTGACCCATCAAAGTCTAAATTTAGCTTCCGCGTATCTAGGACTACACTTTTCTCTTCATCCAGAAGTTTGATTTCCAATTTGGTCCTGGTCTGACTAGATTCTGATGATGTTGCGCCCAATCCTAAAAGAGTTTCTTCTCCTGCGCCAATAGTAGTTTCCATTCCCCCTATTCCGGTGTATGGTTTTGACGTTGCAAATTGTAAAGACTGCCCTTGTGGTGGTGGAGTTTCTGGTACCGGTACGTTTTGTGGTGCTTTTGCTTGATTTATTAATGACATCATCATCTCCTGCATCTGTTGCATTGAGCCTTTCAGTTCCGCTATCTCCGCCTGCTGCCTTTCTATAATAGCTGACTGTTCCTGGTTTTGTTCCCCTGTGTTCGACATCTTGTGCTTTTGAAATAAAAATTTGTTAAAATAATCGGCCAAGAATTTCCGTTCTCTTTCTCTAGCTTCACTCGAATCCTTTGTGTCTTCGCCAATCAAATCCTTTGTATTGCCAACCGAATCCTTCGTCTCGTCAATCAAATCCTTGGTATCGCCAATTAAATACTTCGCCACTTCAATTGTATCCTTCGTATCGCCAATCGAACGTTCCTTATCGCCGCCAAAATCTGCCTTCTTCCCGTTATCCACGATTGATTTGATGTTGAGGTTGATTCGCTAGAAAAATATGGTTGATTCGAATGATCTTGATGAAGGTAATCGGCCACTGTTGGGACACCAGATGTAGGACTCCTGGGACGGATAGACACGGTAAAGTATATGTATATCAAAAGATCCCTTGAGGGGGAAATAAATTGCAAATAGGTTGAAAGGCTATTACAACTTACGGGTGGTTTGAAAGACCTGCCCCTCTAATTGTACTAAACAAATAACTAAGAGTCTTGTAATCAATATTTAAGAATATGTGGCTGATTCCAAGATAGATCTTACTTTTGTAAAGTAATCTCTATCAGACCTAGATCACGTATCACTCTACTAATGAATCTGTTACAACTTCAGGTTAATAATGGAAACTGTGGCGCGTTATTTAGAGTTTGTTAATGATCTCTTCCTCGAACAATTTCTTGCTAAGGCACTTTAATCAAAACTAGAGCTCCGGTGTTACTACTACTACTACTGTTATTTGTTATTTGTTAATAATACTACTTATGTTAATTTGTTATGGTTGAATGGTTCTGGTTCTACTGCTTATAAATCTCTGACTTTACTTAACTACTTCTGACAAGCACACTACTAACTAACTAATTGTGACCAACGTACTCCTGTAGGTTGATGGGGAAAAAAGAATCCTGGTGGAGAGAGGCCCTCCTTTTATATTGAAGAGTGAGGGATTTCTGCTGCAGGTGACTCTCTGTGAGTTATTTTTGCTGCAGGTGACACACACTTGCACAGCATGATGTCATTGGTTGCTATGAAACCAAGCCATGTAGCATGTGCTGAAACATTCCAAAGCAGTAATCCAGTACAGTATACAGTCTTATGAGATCTGTTACTCAGAAACCAAATCAACATTCCAAATGTTCTGTGTTTCATCTAAACAGATGAAGCAATGGATGAAACACTCACTTACTCCCTTCCTTGTTCCTTTTTCCACTGATTACACAATAAATAAACCCATATTACATAACCTACCCATGCACACACCACATCTACATATGTATTCCTTACCCTGTTGTTGTATGTCCTACGTAATAAATGTTCCTCCTCTTGTAATGAGTGATAAGTGTGTGTAACTATCACCTATTCTGTATGCTTTTGGCATTGGAACAGGCACAGCACACCACAACGGCCTAAGGGCGGAAATGTTTTGACAAGAAAATTGACAAAAATTCATCCACCTCATTTTTTAAAAAATCTGACCAGATCAAATTAATCAAAGTGTAGTCTTCTATTTCAAGCATCATCTATTTTTTTCATCAATTTTCATCCACAATGGGCTGCTCTGTAAAGGCTTTCCCTGATCATTGAAATGGATTGCTTGGAGTATCTGGCTGTTTTTTGGATAACACTCTCATGGATTTTTCACTATCAAAAGTGGAGATGGTCGAAGGGTATCCGTCGCGGATACCCGCCAGTGCCAACAGATACCCGCCAACGGGTGTGGATGGCCCCTTTTCCGCAAAAAGTTGGCGGGTATCCGGGTATCCCAAAGGATACCCGCGGCTGGAAGGGGAGATGGCCGGCTGGAAGGAAGCCCTCCGGTCGACGAGGTACAAGTACCTCGCCGGCTGGAAGGAAGCCCTTCCAGCAGGCCCTTTAGAGGGCGGGTATCCGAGGATACCCGCTCGGATACCCGCCAGCGGGTGCGGATGCGGATGCGGATGCTCAGATGGCCGGAAAAAGCAGCCGGATATCCGCATCCGCGCGGATATCCGGATGCCAATCAACCATCTCTATTCAAAAGGAAATCTTTGAGATTCCCAATAGAAAGCTTTTGAAGATTCCCACAAGCCTCAAATTGAGAAATGGAATTTGACAATTCTTTGTATTTGTATAAAGATGGAAAGCACAAGACTATTATAAATATGTATAAACCAATCTATGAGTTTATGCCTGATCCTTCGGTCACTCCCGTGGAAGGCCCCGAGGTCAGCCAGACTCACCCGAGGGACTGGGCAGTGGGAAGTTTCGATGGCTCAGGCTTGCAGGACTTCTCCAGACTTCTCCACCGACAGTCAACTATTAACATCATCTTTCCTTTGGATATATTCTCAGACCATCTCGACATTTATAACCATCGTAATCGAACGGCCAGTCTCATTTGATTATGCAGTCACTTTGTAGAGACTGGGAGAACCTATCGAACAAGGCAGCATCGAACCATTCCAAGGTCACAGAGGATATCGATAGGGTCATCTCCGATCTAGAGTCCCTCAGGGACCTCATACAACGAGGCAGGTTTCAATCACGCAGTAGTACGAACGAATTCTTGAATAAAACACTGAGGCTGTTTGGTTTCTGACGCAGGCTCGCAGATCGAAGGATTTCAGATCAAGCAGAACAATGGCCTTCAACCAATCATGAATCGCTCAAAGGCAGCAACGAAGGCGGCCTTACAATCTCACAAAGAGCTATATTCACTCACGTCAAAATGGCAAAAGATGATCGAGAAAAAGTTCAACCAAACCGTCCTTCCATTACTTGGCACCAACCTCGTCCCAGGCCCTCAAACCGAAACACCCAAATCTAAGCAACCCTTCCTATCCCGAAGTGCTCAGCAAGCCCTTAATCAGGTGATCATCGATCACTTACTTCGCCAGGGTAGATTTGAAACGGCCCAGACCTTTGCTCAGGAGGCTCAGGTTACCTCATCTGCTCACGTCCTCGAAGCTTGTCAGGAACTCTTTCGGATCAATGACTGCTTAAAAGCTGGCGATTTAGCACCTGCCCTCGAATGGACCGAAAGGAATCGGGATTGGCTCGATGCTCGGGAGAGTCCACTGGAGTTCGATCTGCATCGGTCTCAATTCATTCGATTGTTAACTCAACCTGCCTTTGATCATCGCCCAATTCACTCCGAACCAGGTAAGAACGCGAAGGACAAAATGGAGGTTGAAGTCGAGTTAGGGTCTAGGGTAGAAGAAGATCAAAAGATGGAATTGAGCTCCGGTGATTTACATCGCGACACTAAAATCGAAGTTCCAATCATCATGGAGCCGCATTCTAATCAACCTGAACTGGAGGAGGACCGACATCAGGAAGAATACACGAAATCTCGGCAGTTAGCGCTAGAATATGCCCAGCAACATTTCCCGAAATTCTTTCCTAAAAGATGGGACGAAGCCGTCAGGCTCACAGCTTCGAGTCTTTACACTCCATTCTCCAGATTGAAACGATCACCCTATTCTGAGTTTTATCGATTGACGGACGATGCCGATGCTGGCGACGAGTCTGATTGCTCACAACTTTGGCTCCATGCGGATCATCTCGTGCCTCTATTTACCAAAGAATATTATGCGAGACTAAGTTGGAGTAAGGAGTTGCCTTTGACGGTGGCTACTGAACTTGGCTCTGGTGGTGCGTTGGCCAAAATCGCTAAAGTTAGATCAGTCATGAAAGAGAAAAGGACTGAATGGAGTCAGGCAGATGAATTACCAGTTTCGTAACTGTTATATTTTCATGAAGTATCTTCATTTTCTATGGGAGTTTCGCTAATCGGTTTGATCCTCGGCGTTTGTAGGTAGAAATTCCATTACCATTAGAATTTAGATTTCATTCAGTCTTCGCGTGTCCGGTTTCCAAGGAACAATCCACAGAGGCCAACCCCCCAATGATGATGCCTTGCGGACACGTGATCGCTAAAGAATCTATGCAAAAGTTGGCTAAAGGTGGAGGGTATGTCTTTTTCGCTTGAATCCTTCACTTTCCTTTTGTCTGCTCGGGGCCCATGTCTGATTCAGAGTGCTGGTTTTGACTTCCCAGAACGGTCAAATGTCCTTATTGCCCCAGCAGTTCGTCCATGAGCTCTGCCGTTCAAGTTTATTTTTAATCAAAATCACCCTGAATTCTCAAGGCATCGCTCTACCTCGCATCCAATTAACATATTATACGTATCAATCTGCGTTCTTTTTGGAGGCGCAAACCTCTAGTCAGTCAGTTCACGATTTGTAGTTTCTTTGTTTCCGTCGTTTCCTCTTAGAAAGACGCAGAACGTTCTATCTACATGCACGTTGTAAAACAATTGTAAAACAATTCAAGTCTTCAACCTAGCCGGCGAAAATGATGTCTGGTTGGGACTGCATGGCAGATGCCCCCTACGTAACATCACCGGCCCGGCTAGCTCAGTTGGTAGAGCATTCGACTCTTATAAAGGGTTTCAGAACAAGTTTCTGTCATCGAATTGTCGTGGGTTCGAGCCCCACGTTGGGCGGTCCTGTTTTGATAATGAGAGGTCTTCTTTTGTCACGATTCAATCTTGAATTCAGCTGTGTTTTTGTCTTGCCTTTCCTTGTTGTAAGGGCCTGACTACCATTCCTCCTCCTTTACCCATCACACAACCAACATTACATCCATTTGAAACCCCACCTGGCAGCTGACTCTAAATCTGAAGAAATCATGTTGTCTGCATCTTGCCTTCAATTCTCGCGCATTGCATTCATTTCGAGCCTAGCGAGACCAAGTTGCTTGTCCAGCGGATGTGGGCTGAGCCATTGTCCTACGTTGAACTTCAACCTTTGCTCAGGGACCTGCCAGATCCAGAAGATGGCGGCCGGGTTTGACAAGCTCAGTCTCTCTGGGGGATACGGTGTGGGTATCCAGAGCACGATCAGGGACGCGGCCTCGGCCGCCAAAGTACTCAGCTTCCCCGACCCCACCGATCCCGCTCAAGCCGGCAACCGTCCCCAACGGTTATCAATCGAGAATCTCTTTTCTTGGCCACTTTAGGCGGTGCCCGCGTCTGCAATCTGGACGACCGCGTTGGAAACTTTGCGCTCATTAAACGGTTCGACGGCTTGCTGATCCAGACCGGTGCCGCCGCTGCTCCCACACCAGCTCACCAAAACCTTGACTTGACTGGTGACAGCATCGATTGCCGTTTTGCAGACTGGATCCTCGCTTCACAAGCAGAACCGTATTTGGAGGGCTCTAACCCTAACTTCTTTGTCAATGACCAAAAGAAAGAGATTGATCTGTCCTCGTCGATGGTGGCTCCGGGTTCGAGTTCGTCAAGTTCTTGAATCTCAGTAGTGAACTGTAGTAGATGTATTCACATAAAAAAAGGCCCGCGTTTTCTGAGACTTTGAGATTGATCGGCTGAGAGATCTGATCCTGAACTCTTTCGACAAGCTGATCGAGCATGACAGAAGAAGATAAGGAAGCAGGTCGGGTCTCCGAATCGGAGAGGGAGGGATCAGGGAAGAGACCGTCGACATCAGGGGACTTGTAATGTTCCCAATAGGCGATTTTCTTGAGCAAGAATTTGGCCCTAGGGAGCTGAGAGATTCCAGTGTGGATGACCAAGTTGAGATCTGGATGGGTCTGGTAGAGCCGGCTGAGTAGCTCGTTCACCGTCCGGTAGCTCACCCGAACCGGCTCTGGATGGACCACTAACTCTACAGCGCTGTTCCCATCCTCAGAGTCAAACCCTCCAGATTCCGATGCCTGCTTGACGATATCAAATGAGGCATTCTTCTCATGGTTTCTGAACGAACCGAATCCTGTTAAAAGTATCTTGATGGGTCGTTGAGTCGGTATACTGGGCATTGCTCGGATGTTGATCGTTTGCCTTTTGATGTCGATTTGGATATACTTGAACGTGGTGGTTAGTGTTCTTGTATCTCTGACATAAATTCTTTGCAAATCTTGGCAAGCTACATAATACATATAATCCTCCGGGCATCTGTTCAGACGTCAACTTCTCCCGATATGTTGGCTTATTCTTGGAATGCTTTTTTGTAGGGCGACGACCGCAAGACTGGTGCGGTCTTCATCAACTCAATCTGCTTCGGCGAACCTAACCCTCTGGCATGAGCAACAAACGCTCTCCTCGCACCTATATGTATAAGATTATCCTGTCCTTTGTCGTTTCTCTTCAGAAAATAGATCCTCATCATATCCTTCCTGACTGGAACCTTATGTAACCTGAAGATTATTTATTGTACTCTTGGTAAGTCTGGTAAGTCTTAATTCAGCGAAGTTGAGATGATTGCTTAGTTGGCATTGTCGCATGCATTTGAAATCATGTCGCAGCAGATGACGATGAATTCAAATTCAAACTCGCGTGCAGCGTCAAGGTGACGCTGCGGCGCGCAGCGACAGGCAAATGACCGTGGTGTCACCGGCCCGGCTAGCTCAGTTGGTAGAGCATTCGACTCTTATAAAGGGTTTCAGAACATGTTTCTGTCATCGAATTGTCGTGGGTTCGAGCCCCACGTTGGGCGGTCCTGTTTTGATAATGAGAGGTCTTCTTTTGTCACGATTCAATCTTGAATTCAGCTGTGTTTTTAGCTTGCCTTTCTTTCTTGAAGGCTTGCCAAGAATTTTATGTACCCACTTTGAGAAACAATATGGATCCAAAAATTTAATGCAAAAACCCTTTCTGGAAACCCAGGCTTGAAAGTTTTTAGTTCAAGAAACAAGTTTCTGTCAAACTGTTGAAAGTAGCTCCCAAGAATGAATGTGAAAACTGAAAGTAAGAAATACCACTAGATGTGCTTATTACCTCATTCTTTGAATTTTTGAAACCCATTTCAACATTTTCACCTGGACTCATCATGACTTGAAGTCAATGGTGCCTTCTGGGTCCAAAACTAGCCAGACAGAAAGTTAATTTGGTTGCCAACTCTTCAGCAACTTTCTCCTTGCACAGAAAATGTTTTTGGGGGAGTTTCAACAAAACTTAAATTTAGTTATCCTGCATGTGAAATTGTGGCAGTTTAGTTAATCTTGCAGTGAGAGCTTTCTCACATTATTCTTCCACAAAACAAGAGTAAATTCATTGTGTTACTTCTGCAGTATCATAGACAGTCATGAGTTTGTTCAAACCACTTGTAGGAGTTGTCATAGATTCATTACATACCTCCTCTTTGTAGAAATGCCCCCCATCCCAAAGGATTTCTTACAGTGGTAGAATCACAGCTGATGAAAAATAACAATGTTGTAACATCTGTGCTAAGCTTAAGAAAGATTCCTTCTGGGGAAGTGCTGCAGTTGCATTGCTATGTGTTGAGATGAACACCCTGGAGACAAGTATGTTGGAAAGGATGAGTTCATTTCAACATGACAGGAGAAAAGAAAAAGATGACTATACCTGGAGACAAGTATGTTGGAAAGGATGAGGAAAAGAGAATCCTCCCAGACACACTTGGCTCCAGTATATGAGCTGAGGAAAGACAACAAGATGTCACACTCTGTGACATGAGAGAGATGAGTGAAATGAAGGAAGAAAGAAAGCACACTGACAACTGTGAACATGTCACGGTATCTCAACACCCCCCCTTGCTGATGACTGACTTTAGTGAAAGAAATAAGAGAAGGAGTTGAAAGAATAATAGAGATAAGAGAGAGAGAGAAAATTAAATAAGGCCAAACATGAGACGATGTTTCTCCAACAATACACGAGCAAGAGGTTTGGTGAGCATGTCGGCTAGCATGTCGTGTGTGGAGACGTGCACGATCTTGAAAATATCATCTTTGACGCAGTTGCGTACAAAATGATATCTTGCATCAATATGTTTTGTCCTGGCGTTGTGAGAACTCCTTTGGGAATGGTGGCAGTCCTGTGAGGGGGAAATAGCAGATGAGATATATCACGTATGTAATGATCTACTACAACTGTTACGGCTGGTTTGAAAGACCTGCCCCTCTATTGTACTACACAAGAGTTAACACAACAATTTATTTTATTGTTGTGGCAAAACTGATGATAGAGAAAATTATGTGTAGCAGTCTCTTATCAAACCTAGATCAACGTGGATTCAGCAGACTATTTGAGTGGAAATGTTGAGTAAGAGGTGTTTTCTGTTTATATGTTTATGTATTTTGAAAAATGATTGACGTATGTACTGATGATAAATGTTTATTTATGAGATGATATTGTGGAAAAATGTGACTATTGAAAGTGTCTTTCCCTTCCTTCTTGAATCTTAGTCAAGAGCACAATGGTTTAAGATCACTGTCTCTTGTTTAAGATCACAAGTTGTACTGGTTGCTACTTTCTTTTTCCTATGCTTCTCAATGGCTGAATGATCTCAACGGGGCACTTGATTAAGATCACACTGGTTAATGTATAGATTGATTGCTCTGTTCTGTCTGGTTGATGATCAGATGAGATGATGAAAAATTGGAATGAGGGGGGAAAGCCCCTCCTTAAAATAGTCTATTTACAACCCGGCTGACTTGTGGTTCTAGCCCTAACCTATAATCTACAAATGACCAACTTGTGGTTCTAACCCTAACCTATAACCTATAAAAAATAAAAGGCCAGCTTGTGGTTCTAACCCTACCCTATAACAACTATGCATAAAATCCGGCCAAATTGTGGTTTTGCTATCTATACAAGATTCTCTCTATACCTACAAACAATGTGGCCAACATGTGGTTACCCTATGCAATGAATATTGAATATGTAAAAAAACTAAGGCCAACTTGTGGTTTGCATTATGCAATAAGCATTTTGTATGCAACTAAACTTAAATCCACAAATAACGTTTGACTGAGTGGAGCTAGCCT